GAATTCCTCTATATATATATATATATATTTGTAAGAGCTCACCCGTTTGGGTTCTCGGTCGAAACGCCTGTCCGGTAGCCACAGTGCCCGGGTTTTTGAGCGAAGTGCCAGGCCTCGGCATCGAGGCTATCGTGTCGTTGTCGAGGAGACCCTCGGCCAAACCCTCCTCCTCGGCCTCGATGTCGTCCACGTAAACTTGAAGCGTGAGCGCCCGCATCTTCAGTATCCAGACCGCCTACGTGTAATTGCACGCATACACGAGCGCGTGTTATAAATAACATGAACATTTAGTCAAATCAAACAAATCATTTCTTCGTGAAAAAAATGAAAAAAATGTTTTTCCCTTTTGTATTCAAATAAGCTTTAATTACAACAACAAAAAGTACTACGCGTTACGGGGGAAAAAAAATATTGTCAGAAAAACCAATACGATTCACCTGGTCAAGGGGACTCTTGCGCAGCAGTTCGGTACATTTAGCGGCGCAATCTTCGAATTTTCTGCGCCGAAAGAGGCTAAGCGCTTGAAAAAGTTCCATTTTGGCACTGAAAATGGTACAATGAAAAATCCGTGCCCATCGATTGATCCCACCAATCACGGGATAATTGTACAAAAACTACAAACCGACAATAGCTATACGATACTTGCGAGCCACGTAAATTATATACCTGCGTAGCACCTGGCAACGGCCCTGCATACACACGTATACCTACCAGGGGCTCTTTCGATCGATCGTAGCGCGCGCAGACAAATTGTATCACCTCGTATAAGTATAACATATATACATACCCTCTGCGTAAAAGTACGTACGGCTTTGTTTTCACGATTTTTATTTTTTTTCGTATAAAGTATAAATATACTCCCAACGATGGTATGGAACAACTAGGGACACACTCGACCTTGAAACGTGTGTATTGTCTTGCAAGGAGCGAGATGTAAAAATACATGTTTTTCCTACACACCTCGTGCACCACTCTTATTTTCGATTCATCCTCAATAACTTGATCTTCGTGCACTGATAAAACACTCCAATGGACGTTCGACTGAATGGCCCTACCGATTTTTCGGTCAAATTTAATCCACTATACATAAACATTTGTAACGAGTGTAAGATAAAGCACATATTATATGCCGTGACGATCGGAGAAACGATGAATCTTCCGAAGCAGTTTTATACGCGGACGGGGTGATTAATTTTTCGTTGGCTGATTTATCTTTGACGACGAAGCGCAATTTTGACTTATACGAGCGCCCGTCCACCCACGCGGGCGCAGATTGACAATGTACTTTGTACACGCGCCCACAGTGCGTATATACACATCCATGAAGATAAAGTTGCTGCAAATAAAGGTTTAATACCATTAATTCCAGCGAATCCCGTACATGATCGGCATTGGGTGTATAAAATATATAACCCCGTATTGATAGATAAATTTGGTGACATTTAAATCATACATTGGGCAACCAAGCAAACGTAAACAGTTACATTTTTATGAGAAATGTAGAAAATTTTTTCCATACAACGGTAGAAAAAATGAGGAACATTAGTAGGTACATATTGATTATGCGTGGTAATAAACGCGCGCAATCAATCAGGCCATTTCGAGGGCCATTTCTTATTTTCCATCGGGAAAAGGTACTTACATGTATAATTGTTCCCCGCGGTAGGTACATGCATATATAAATCGTGGGTGCCGAGAATGTATATTCTCAAATCTGGCTTCCCTATACGCGTGATTTAACTGCACCATGTAATAAACTACTATTATACAAGCGAGAAAAAAAAGTTGGGCTCGTATGGTTATAAAATTCTAAAACCTCATGGTATACACATGCTTGTATGATAGTAATAAAAACGTTGTTGGGGGGGGGGGAGGAGAAGGCTGAACAAAGCTTTTCGTAGAATTTAGGTGCATTGGATGGTATGTTACCACAGTAGAACATAATATTTATTAATAATAATCAAGTATACAGGTATATTCGAGTAGAGTCGGCCAATGGGCCGATTAAGATGTAAGAGCAACCGGGTGGGCAATAAAGCTAGAATTTATGTGGGCCCGAATAAGAGAACTCGAGGAGAGATAAAGGAGAGCTGATGGTCGGCATAATCAGTGCCATTATCATCGTGAGCGTGTGGTCTACAGCACAGCTGCGGCAACAGGCAGTACCTAGTGTATGGCATATTGTTATAATAGTGACAGTGACGACGACAATCAAATCGCCGATTGCCGATTTGCGTGTGCCTGTATACATGTATACGAGTACATACACGTGTGGGGCGCATGGGGGAGACGACCAGGAGAAGCCGCCACAGTACCCTGACAGCTCTCGTACCTATAAGTGTGTGTGTGTGTGTGTGCGCGCACGTGTAGCAGTTGAGGCTGGCACTCTCGGCTGACAGTACATTACATTATATTATACAATACATACTTTTACGCGCTTCATTACTTACTCATTTCACTGGACTTGTACTACCTGTAAACTTTGCCAATTAATAATAATAATAATAATAATAATACAGGCTTTACTAGCTCCAAGTGTCAGCGTCAACGTTAGTGCGTGGTGATTGTGAGTGCACTTTTTTTTGGCCATCATAAGGATGATCCCGCTACAGTTCTAACTCTCTGCCGAATCCCCGTAGCTGAGGTCCGTGTATTGCGCTTATAGATATACATACATATATATTCCCTTTTTACAAATGAAAGGAGTAAATATACCTATACTTCATGATCTATGGTACCTAATACAAAAAAAAGGGCCCTTGTCCTTTTCCAGAGGACGAGGCATGCGTACTTTGTGCTCGTTAATCGGCGAATTTGGTCACCTTTAAATGGCCTGTACTTATTGTATTTTTCAAACACGCGCTTTCTCGACAAAAGAGCGCATGCATTAAAATGAGGCGCAAGGTCGATACGTTAATGGGGGACAAGGGGGAGGGGGCCTTCGTGCCTCTAGCTCTTCTTCTCTCGTGTTCGTCATTTCGTTACATCAGCGCACCCTGTTCTCGCGGGATATAGGTGAGCGCGCGTGTACGCCTATTCAGTATCATTATAGCCGGATATGCGCGCCGTGGTGCAGCTTTTCAGAATTCCTCCGTTGTTGGGATGATAATGGAAATTCATTTCGTCTCGCTGGTACAAGTTCGTGGGTTTTTTTTTTTTTTTTTTTTTCATCTTGACAAACCAATTTTTCATCTCTGCCTCGCTCTCACTTGCTTCTTATATACGGTCGAGGGACTTTCTTACAAGATTATTAAAAACATATTTTTTACTAAGTATTTTACCTGCTCGTGAATTTGGGAAAAGTTTAATTTAAAAAATAACTGTATATAGGTGAAGACAAATTCGTACTTGATTGCTACCTGTTATCGAATTGCCTTGTACATTTCGGGGGAAAAAAAAAAAAAAAAAAACAAATTTCGTCAATTCAAATAAATGTTCATACAAACACAAATAAGTATATATATGCACGTATACACCCACTTATATTCAGATAAAGTAGATATTAATTCAAACTAAATAATATTAATTGTATTCTAATCAATAATTTTTTTACAACGTAATATTCAATAGATTTAAGTAAATATTTACTTGTTTTTATAATTGTTTGTACGAAATGTTTTTTACTTTATCGTAGAAAAATGTCAGTCTTGTGGGTCAACGTTAAATTAACGGGTGTATAATATACAGAGGCATCATAAAAATTATTTTTTACAGCTGCAATTCAAGGAGATATAGCGTTGTATTACATGCGTGAGATACGACACACACACACACACACACACAAATGCGATTTAACCTCATTAATCTAGTGATTCAATTATAGCCAAATATAGACACGGATAAACTAAAGGTTCTTTGATAAGGAAGGTGCGAGAGGTAAATACGTCGTTTGACCGAATCAGCGCGCAGTTTAGGCTCTCATTGACCATTCATGTGTACACATGTACATAATATATATAAAACAACAAGGAATAAATTGCCCTTCCTCTCTCGTATCGCTTCTACTTATCTATTTTATTTTTATATATATATATATATATATATATATATATATATATATATATA